ATGGCCATTTTAAAATTCTCAATAATTCATGCCTATAAAAGTGATCACAAATAATAGCTAAAAACGCTGTAAACTCAATATTTAAGGAGTTATGGCCATTTTAAAATTCTCAATAATTCATGGTCAAAAAAGTGATCACAAATAATAGCTAAAAACGCTGTAAACTCAATATTTAAGGAGTTATGGCCATTTTAAAATTCTCAATAATTCATGCCTATAAAAGTGATCACAAATAAAAGCTAAAAACGCTGTAAACTCAATATTTAAGGAGTTATGGCCATTTTAAAATTCTCAATAATTCATGCCTATAAAAGTGATCACAAATAAAAGCTAAAAACGCTGTAAACTCAATATTTAAGGAGTTATGGCCATTTTAAAATTTTCAATAAAGGTGGGTCCTCTTCTGAACAGCAGATGACCTGAAGGGTCTCTTCTGTTGACCTGATTTGTTCTATTTTGTAAATAAAAAGAACTTTTTTTCTGGTACCCCTGATTGCCTGATATCGTTTGTTTTGGTCACCCTCGTGTTTCTCTCTTTCTCCCTCTCGAAAATGGGTCAATTTTTTGTTGTCCAAATCAGAATTCAATCTATGCGACAGAGTAACGTTCCTTGTTAAAAATATAAAGTAGCCCAGCTCCAAACACTTGCCATTAAAAAAATGCGTAGCACTTTCGTGCGTCTTCTGTTTTTCCAAAGTCCGGCTGAATGGATGGTTGGAACAGGTTGTAGTAGTCGGTCGGTCGGTCGCTCTTGTGCGTAAGCATAAATCATGATGACACCAATTTTTTAGGTCTTCATGTGCTCTGTGGCCATTCCGCATGCCTTCTGCCCAAAAAAAAAAAATAAAAAAAAACATGAACGAAACACAACACGTTCTCTGCTTGACAGTCCGCAGGCATGGCGGCGGCATGCATTGGCATTTTGAATAGACTTGGTTAAGTTCTAAATTGGTTTCAATGTTGGAAATGCATAAAACATGAAAGAAAGAGGGGAAAGAAAATAAAGAGTTACATGTTTCGTTTACTTGGCTTGACATACTTGACCGTGGAACAGGTTGGCTGGCTGGTTGATTGGTTGTGTAGAACTGTTATAGGCCAAAATCAAAGCCAGACCAAAAATAGGCCTCCAAAGCAACGAAATAAAAAACGTTTAAAATGTTGTTGTTGTGCCTTTTTGTTGTTGTTGTTAAGCCTTCTAGTTTGATGTTGTCTCGCATAAAATATTGCGTTTAACTTGTCCGTCTGTCTGTCCATTCGCTCTGTCACATGTTGCATAGTAAGTAGCCGAGACCTAATTTCGTGGCCACCGTTTATTATTATTTTATGTTTGTCAGTCTGTAAGTCTATCTGTATGTGTGTTATTGTGCCTTTATTTTGTGTAAGACTTAACAAACAAACACTAAATGCCAGCCAAACAGAATAAAAGCAAAAGAAGAATTTCACTTTTTAACAAAAATAATCAACAGCAAAAAATCACAAAAATAACTGTGCGTTCAGTTTATTTAACAAAAACAACAACAACAACGTCAATGATTCAAACACTCACACACTCATTAATGAACTTGCAAAAAATTCATACAACTACTTGGAAAGATGTGTGAGTGAATTGTGTTTACCTTTCTTCTCTTTCACATCTCTCCCTCTCTCAGAGCAAACTCCTAATGAGAGTTCATTGCTGGATACATGTTCGTGTCTTAAGTCTTTTGTATTTAACGCAGGCAATGTTTGTGTTTTAAGTCTTGGGACTATTAGGGTTTTTTTGTGAAAAAAATCAAAGAATTTAATTATTACTAAACAAATAACTACATATTTTTGGAAAATTTAAGCTATTTGAAAAAAAAATACAATTTTCAGGAAAAAAATAAATAACAAATTAAAATGTATCAGTCGGTTTTGCCCACGAATGTATACCCTTGTGTTATGATAATTCAAATTGTTGACCCTCTATGGAGTAGGTTCGGAAGGAATGGGCCAATATTGTCCATTTCGTGTCGGACCTAAATAAATGTGATATATTTATTGCGATGTGCCAGGTTTGGACTATATCGACATCTTCCTTCACTTTATATATCTCATATAAAGTGATAATTTTTTAGAACTATTCAAATATGCGTGAGGTAACCGATATAGTCGACCCAAGTATTACATTTTCATATTTCATCTAATACAGATTACAATATTGGTATGGGCAAAATTACAAAAAATCGAACATTTGTATCCAATGCGGAATCATAAATTTCATATTCATCTCAAGGTTTCTGGTTGAGAGAAATATTTAGATATAGCTAAAGTTGTAAAGAATCGCTGACTTATTTCACAAATTATGGCAGATATAAGTATTGGAAATTGCAACCATTTGCGGGTGAGGTACCAGAAGGGGTTCGCAGATATATATCATCTTCACAGCTCTTACGTTAGCAAAAACATTTGGATGTGTGAAAGTTGAAGAGAGTTGGATGCTTTTTTCTTTTTATTTGAGTGTTTTGTTTTTCAAAATCTGGAAGCCTATGTGTGGATGGTACCAGAGGAAATGGTCCGATCTCTAGCATTTTTATAACAGGCCTCGTCTTGATGGAAATATTGAGATGATACCAAGTCTAAATGGAATCGGTTGTTAATTTCGCATTTTATGAGCTTCATGGTATTCAAAATTTTGACCCTTTGTGAAGGAGGTACCAGAAACAGTAGACCATTATAACCCATCTTCACACCACACCTTGGGTTAATAAAAATATTGTGACGTGGGTAATTTGAAGACAATATAAATTAGTTAAGACAATCGGAAAGTTAAATTTATTCAAAATTTTGACCCTTTGTGGGGGAGACACTTGATGGAATGGACCGATATTGTCCATTCCTAACCTAGCACTGATGCAAATATTAGGATTTTCCAAGTTGGAGGAAAATCGGATTAGCCTTTCTTTCTGTGCAGTAATTTTCCCCCGTTTCCCATTGGGATCTTAGTTCTCCCATAAAGAATCTTAGTTCAACTTATAAGAACGTGAGTTCTAATTAGTATGTTGATTGCATTTGAAAAATCAAGGACTTGTCGCGATTCTAGTTATGGAAAAATATTCTGTAACAAATCTTTCATTTGTACAAATCCTTGAAAAATATTTGTAAAAAATCCTTATTTAACTGCTTAATTACCTTTTTTGAATGCTCACAATCACGGTTTGTCGTCGCACCTTACTGCTCATCTTCTATCTACAAAAAAAATCTATTATTTTATCTATAGAATATCTTATTGTTTTTCTACTTATAACTTACTAGATTTCTTCATATACTCATTTCTCTTCGAATATCTTCAGAATTCTTCATTGTATTACTTGTCCACCATTTTAAAAGCAGAAAAAATAACGCTTCTTGAAAAGTCATCATTCACAATAGCTCAGTGGCAGAAACGTTTATCAAGCCAACAGCCATTTCTCTCAACATATTTTTCTGCATAATTCGCGTTATTTAATTTACTTCACGGTTCAACTTTTAACATTCCACATGTCTTTTAAATTGAATTACACATATTTATTATTTTATTAACGTTTATTTCCTGGTAAAACAGTAAATTACATTGTTTACGATATCCCACCAAAAATTCTAATTGACGCTGACTTATTGTGATTGATACACAACACACAGTGTTGTATTTCTACCACAAGATGAACAAAGGCAAGATGTAAACTATTGACGCCGTTATCTTTGTCGATAACAAAACATAACGGACCTGTTATCGTTCAACGGAGGTAAATCGATAAGGACTATGTTTACATTGTACATATTTTATCAAAACGAGTCGCTTGACACGATTTTAATGGAATAGACAATTCAATTAATTTTAATATAAAAATGTGTTTCAACTGTCAGTAATATTATAAAGGAAACCAAAATTTATATTTATAAATCCATTGCATACACAGTAATCAGAGATGGATAGTCTTATTTGAAATGATTTTACCTTCTTACTTTTACTTTGGAAAAATGGTATAAATAATATATTTTAATTGAACAAAATCCAGTTTTGCATTTTGTATAATACACCATATCAAACTTGACTGAATAGAAAACACGTTACCGTATCTGATTTTTATTCCCTGCACCATACTAAAGAAAGTATATTCATGGTACAATAAAAAGGTAAGGTAGAGCTGCCAGCTAACTAAAATTTTTTTTCTAAGAGTGCCCGACTTCTGCCAATCTTGTATATGTATTTATTGTTTTGAAAAAGAAAAACAAAATATTTTCGGGACATTTGGTGTCAATTTCGCGATGTCCGTCCGTCCGTCTGTCTGGCTGGTGCGCACAATTTCTCTCAAAGGGAACATCTGATTGGGTCCAAACCTGGTATATCGTAATATTATTATCAAACTTTGATCGAGTTCGGAAATAGGCAATATCGGTCCACTCCTTCTGGTACCTCGCCCACAAAGGGTCACAATTTTCTGTCATAACTTGCGAAACACGTCAGCTAATCTACACAACTTTTTTGCTTACATTTTAGCTTTTGAAATCTAAAAATTTCTCTCAACAAGAAACAGGAAATGAATATGGAATTTATGATTTCCCATAAAATTTTATATAAATGTTCGTTTTTTTGTAATTTTGCCCATTTTTATATGTATTAGATGAAATATAAAATATTTATATCATATTTATTTAAGTCCGATACGAAATGGACAATATTGGCGCATTCCTTCAGAACCTTCTCCATACAGAGTCAACAATCTGAATTATCATAACTGAAGTAACAAATTTAAGTCGTGTAACATATAATTATTATTCATTTTTTATTATTTTACATACTTTTTTGCTTTTTATTAGGTTTTCAATAAACAACCGATTCTCTCTTTCGATTTCCGTTATCGACAACACTAATTCGTTATCAATCGTTCTCCATATCAAAATGAACGCCGTTAACTGGAGAAACGCGGCAACTTCGTTATCTCACAATCGCCTTTCATTTTGTTATTCATTTTCATCAGCCATTCTTCGATGTCTCATTCGTCATGGAACGCTTTTAAATTTGTACATTTCGTACAGAAAACATCGGTGAATGATAATTCTGCTTAATAAAAATTAAATAATAATGCTAAAAAGTGACAAGTGATATTGTGTGTAACTTCAAAGAAAGCTAGAGAGGCGTACGCCATAATATTGTTGTAAAATTCATAAAAAATTAAGCAGAAAATAGTATTGTTTAAGAGAAAGAAAATTGTTGGCCATTTGTCAAAGTACGCCTTTCCTCTTGTGTGTGCCGTTTCGTTCGGGCTGTGTGGAGTGCTGCTGCTGCATAAAGTGTGAGTGTTCGTTCACTGGTGTGCGTGTGTGAGCAAGGAAAATTTTTTCCAAGATAGAAAAAAAAAGAATAGTGAAATATGATTAACTATTAAATTACAACTGAAAAAGTACCAACAAGATATTGTGGAAATAATTGACAAGAGTCGGAAGAAAAAAAATCAATCCAAAACGTGAGTGCGTGTGTTTTTGCAGTCATACGATACGAGTGCCAAAGGCAGGCAGCAGGCAGGTGAAAGAATCAACTAACCAACCAACAGCTGAAAGGTAAAAAGAAAATGCACAAAATACGAAAGAACGAACAACAGTATAAAAAAGCCGTACAAAGACGCCGCAATGAACAATTTTGTTGCAGGAAATTGCATTTGTTTATGATTTTTCTATGAATATATTTATTTAAAAACAAATTAAAGATTTCAAGAAATGTGAGGCATGGGTTGCAACAACACCAACAACGAACAATGGTCGTTTCGCGTTATATTTCTTTCTTCAAATTCTTATTGGATTTTTTTTCTTGTCAAATCTCAATCTCTTGGTTGCTCTCTTCTCTTGCATTGTGGTTTGTTCTTTCGGCTGAACAGCTGTCATTGTGTTTGCTTGCTGGCTGGAATGGAAATGTGGAAATGGATGATGGCTAGTTTTTCAACTTTAATTTGTGAAAAGTAAATTGTATTGGTTGGTTTGAATACTAAATTTTTAAAAATGGAAAAAACTTTAATAAATACATGAGTGTGAGAGTAAAAGAGTGATGAATAAATGTCAAGCATTTCTTTGACAAACCAGAGCAAAGTTGATCAGACAAAGTCAGGCCATTTTTTCCCTTTCGGACAAAAAGTTTGCCAAAGTATCCTTGCAAACTTTTGTGTGTTTCGTGTTAATAAAACGGCTACGTGGAGTGGAATATTTGCATGCTTATGCCAATTATGAAAGGATCAAATATGCTGGGCGTAACATTAAATTAAATAGAACATGTGGAAAATTGTAAAACAACTTTAAAATGCACCCTTCAAAAATGGTACAACTATTTGCTGAAATCAATTTTAACATCTAAAATGGCAAATTTGCTTTGTCATGATTACAATATGTATTGGATATTTATAGCTAAAATAATTTCCCAAACTTAAGACCATGGGTTTTGATAGATTTTAAGATATAAAGGTAATTTTTTTACTAGAAGACAATATTAATATGGTCATGTATAATAATACTTTTATTTATATTCCTTTTTAGAAGAACTCCATGGTATAGTTAATTGTTTTGCCATGGAAGAACTCATAGTCGAAACTTATCATAGATTCTACAAAGTATAAACTACCAATAAGAAATTTCTTTCAACCTGAGTGTCCGAAATGAAATTTAAACAACAAAAACAAACAGCGTAATATGTCCCTAAATTTCAGAAATGTAGTATTCTAGGCTTACCTTCAAAAAAAAATGCAACAAATTGAAATATTGAAATTGGATGAATTTTTAAGACAAGGATGTTCTAAGAGTGTGATAAAAGGTAACTTTTAATTCAATCACAAATTGTATCCCTATTTGTTCTTCTACTCCAGTTACCATCATAAATCTACAGGAGTGAGTAGGGTATGGGAAATTGAAGAAATTAAATTTCCTAATTATCATTTAATGCCCAATACAAATTAGAACCCACCGTTGTGTAGTTCTGTGGACTTCAAGAACGGTATTTATACTGCATTAATCATATTAAAACTTATGTAATTAGGCTCTTTGACATAGATCTATCTTATATATTTGGTCCTAACTCCTATCTGAGACGTCTGGGATACTTTTTCCTCTATGTGATGGATAAATGATTCTGACATTAGCACCCAATCAAGTTCGTCAATAAAAGCATGTGAATCTACTGACGTGTGGGATTCAGTCTTATGCATCAGAATTTTATCGTAGCTCCTGTGCAAGGTTAAAAAGCTACAAAGTGATCTCTTAAGCCAAGAGAAATGAGCCGAATTTCAAAGCTCAATTGCTTGTTGCTGGTCAACATGCTGGACATGTTTGCGCTCAGGACCACCAATCCAAACAAGTAAAGAAGCTGTAAGTTCGGCCGGGCCAGCTTTGAATACCCTCCACCATTTGAACGAATTTGACAATTTTCAAATAAATAAAAATTCGGTTAAAATTTTAAAAATTCCGAATGTAGCCGATATAGGCATGGGCAACTTTTGTCATAAGTCATTACAATACTCAATTGCGAAACTTGAAAAAAAAAAAATTCTGTGAATAATGAAGCTAAAATCATCAAAGTACCGAATATCGGGAAGTACCTTTATATGGGGGCTATACGAAGACGTGCACCCGCACAGACAATTTTCTGTCTTTGGGCTGTAGTATCCATTACGAACTTCAAATACCAAATTTGAAAGAATTCCGGTGAAAAAAAAAAACCATCAAAATACCGAACATTGGGAGGTACCATTATATGGGGACTATACCAAAACGTGGTCTTACGTGACTCATTTTCAAGACCATAACTCCTGCAGACATAATATACTTTTGAGTAAAATTTTATAAACCTACTTCATTTCGTTCGGAAGCTACTGTGATTTCCACAGAAGGACAGATGGACGGACATCACTAAATCGACATAGAATTTTATGCTGATCAAGAAATGTATATTTCGAGGTGTTACAAACGGAATGACAAACTTAATATACCCTCCATATTATGGTTGAGGGTATAAAAATGCGGCTACAACATCCCAATTCAGAACTATTCAGTTGTTGCTGTAGCAGCTTGTACTGAGGTGATCTTTGCAAATAATTTGCTTCTGCTTTAAATTGTAAAAAACGTCTGGCGTTCGTTGAGTAGTTTTTGCGGCACAGTTAAAGAGGTGCAGGGTGTCTATTAACAGAAGCCAAATACGAATTAATGCAGCTGTGCTATATTGCTTTCAGTTGATCTTAAAATGCTCCAGTTTGTCGAGACAGTTTTCGTTCTTATGCTCCAACCGATCTCCGGGAAGGTATTCATTCTACATTCTCGAGTTGCTTTCCTAATCACACCAGTATGGACACAAATCAGTCTTGCTTTGAAGGGATACCAGTCGAGGGACTCTCTTTGGATCTCTATTTTTGCTCTATTTCTAGATTATAAATGTCATTCCTAAAGCGCCAGGAGAATGTTGGCCAAGCTTTGGATTTGGATGGCTTCGACACCCCATATTGGGGTCATTTAAAAGCATTTTTTCGGCGGTTGTCAGGAGATTATTCTGACTTGTCAGGTCATCATTTTCCCTTGTGTAACAACTATTTTGGCAGATCACACCAGTGCCTTATAGATCGGTCTAGATCGTTTTCATCTCTCCAAGGGCTGCCGACAAGAGTCTTGAGAAAAATATGCCTATTTTTGATCTTATGGGCGATCGATTTGTACTGACCCCAAGGACTTCAGGTAGTTGGTATTCGCAATTAACAATCCATCGACTCGCAACTCGGCTATCCGTGCTGGACATATCGTTGCCATCGACTTGGTGGCGAATTTTTTAATATCCTTCATCAGAAAGAAAGCTTTATTTTGAAAATGCATTAAATCAGGGATTGTTATCAAATCTGAAATCAGGCTTATCTGACCTGTCATTTCTTGTCGCTGTAGAACTCGTACTTGCCCACAGTTGTAGACCCCGACATTAAGGCTGCTAGTAGTTAAATAATTTTTACGAAGGAGGACCACGTTTGCCGAAATAAAATCTCCATGAAAAGTACAGAATGCTGTTAGCCAGATAACATTACGTGTTGCTGACTAGGCAGTCCAATGATGGAGAATGCACCATCACGACAGATGCGTTTGGATTTCAGATGTCGACATCGGTGCAGCAATAGCTAGTAGTCGATTTCTAGAAGAACGATTGATATTTAAATGCTTTCTTAGAGAATCTTCTGGGACATTTTTTATGAAATGGGTATGCATATATTTCTAGATAATGGCCATTTATTGGATAAAGGATGCCAGGACTTCAGATGTTGTTGTTGTAGCAGTTTTACACGTTCTGTTATTTTTTCCGACTAATCTGGTTCTTCCTCAATGTCCAGGTTTAGGAATTCTGCTACCTTTATGGGCTGTAGCCATAGATCCTCTGGACGGAGTTGGGTAGGCTTGGCAGGACAATTAAACAAATGCAGCGTGTTGTGGGGGCCTGTATCACACGCTGGGCAGGCGTTCCGCACATCCTCATCAATTCGTGCCCAATACGAATTGAGACGGCTGCACCATCCTGAACGTAGTTGGGCCAAAACTACCCTGGTTTGCCTAGGCAGCCGACGTTCTTCAGCTGCAATGGATGGGGGGTGGACTCCGAGTATGGCATTCATACTGTAATTATTGACTACCTCTGTGACTGCATCAGTATGAATGCTATTCAGACCTGCTTGATAGGCTTCATGATCTAGAGGCTCTCTCTTATATCGCTGGACCTCTCTCTCTAGATCGTGCAGGTCCTTCCTGACACGCCTGGGTGGGGGAGTTCTATCCACCATATGGTGGTTAGGGTGACTCCCGCGATAACACCCAAGCAGGTACTGCAACGAAAGCATATGATTATGCTGACGTAAGGGAAGAACCTTCGTCTCCTCATGTAAGTGGTCCACAGGCGTCATGAGGAGGCACCCTGTTGCAGTTCTCAGGGCGGCATTCTGGCAGGTCTGAATACATTTCCACTGCGTTGCACTTGTATTCACCGACCACACTGGAGCCGCATAGCTAACCACAGACCGACCTATCGCTTTATAAGAGGTCAACAAGGTTTCTTTATCCGCACCCCAAGTGCTGCCGGCTAGCGCCTTGAGGACCTTGTTCCTACTTTTCATTTTATCGCAAATAGCTGTGGCTTGCGCGGAAGACTTGAACATGCTATCGAATGTGACCCCAAGAATTTTGGGGTAGTTGGTGGTCGGAATTATATGCCCCTCGACCTGCACATTCAGCTGTGTTCTCATCTCCGCAGTCCATGTGGTAAATAGTGTGGCCGTCGATTTAGTGGCGGATATTTTCATATTCCTCGCGTGGAAGAAGGCGGCAAGCTCCGCGAGATAATTATTCACCCTGACACATATGTCATCAACTACAGGACCCGACGCCATGATCGTACAATCATCCGCATAAGTTACGATCTCGATGCCGTCTGGAGGGCGCGGAATTCCGGAAAGGTAGAGGTTAAACAGTTCCGGAGATATCACCCCACCTTGGGGAACTCCCTGTTTCACTCTACGAGGCTTGGACTTCTTATTCCGGAATTCCACGTACGACTGGCG